CTATAGTCTAGTCTATAGTTTAGTCTATAGTCTAGTCTATAGTCTTGTCTATAGTCCAGTCTATAGTCTAGTCTATAGTCTAGTCTATAGTCTAGTCTATAGTCTAGTCTATAGTCTAGTCTATAGTCTAGTCTAGTCTAGTCTATAGTCTAGTCTATAGTGTAGTCTATAGTCTAGTCTATAGTCTTAGTCTATAGTCTAGTCTATAGTCTAGTCTATAGTCCTAGTCTATAGTCTAGTCTATAGTCTGTCTATAGTCTAGTCTATAGTCTAGTCTATGTCTAGCTCTATAGTCTAGTCTATAGTCTAGTCTATAGTCTAGTCTATAGTCTAGTCATAAGTCTAGTCTATAGTCTAGTCTAGTCTAGTCGTCTAGTCTAGTTATAGCCTAGTTTGCCGAGTACGCTAATGCGCCATAAACTATCGCCTCAATAAAGACAACAAACCAATAACAATCTTCATCAAGACACTTAATGACTTGAGTTGAGTCTACAATTCAATTTTCAATTTCACATCACTTCAAACAGCCGATCGATCAGCCAACAACTTTATTTGTTTAGGGCTTTGGGGACACAACAGTCAAAGCTCAAAACAATAGTGTGATTTTCAAATTTTAAAGTGATGGAGATGTTGTTTTTGTTGGATACATATACACACACACTCGATTTCCTAATAAAATTGTTTAAGAATCACAGAAAGAGAGCCTTCCGCATGTCACTAGTGTATCAAGATGGCAGTTCATTACGTTAGACCAGACTGTATGGAGTCATTTCTTAAGACTTCTTCAAATAAGTAAGAGTTTGTGTGTGTGTGTTTTTTTTTTTTTTTTTTTTTTTTTGCTTAAAGAATCTTCAAGTCAATTTTTTATTGCTGAGAGTTGATGTCTTGCAACATGCAACAAATTGAATTTATTTGATTTCAGCTTGTAAATTGTATATTGAAGCTTCTTCAAATGGTTGGTGTTGATTTTGTTTTTTCTTATTTTAGAAATAAAACTTACTTTGACTTAAGTAGAAAAACTTTAGTTTCAAATGATCACTTGAGTTTTTGTTTTTTTGTTTTTTCAAAATGATTTCAATCAGCCAATATCGCAACAGGAACAGCGTGAAATTTTAAGTTTCTGGCACGACTCGCAAATAAATTTTGTAGGCAAAAATGCCAAACATGTTACAGCCAAATAGAAACAAATAAAACAGCTAAAATGACTGAACAGTCAGTCAGTCTATGGTCGTCTACTCTTGGTTGTGGCAATGTTGGTGTTTGTTGGTTTGTTGTTGCACTATCAGATTCTGGAGTTTTTAGGCTGGAAAACAACTCTATTTAAGCTTTTCATATTATTGCGTTTTGTCCAACCCATGATGACCCAATAGGTGTTTATGTCAATTTGCCATTTACACACACACACACACACACTCAAGCTCACCATGAAAACTTAACTTGCAACATAGTTTTGTGGCAAACAACAGCAACAACAACCCAACTCTATGGGCAATTTTTATTTCTTTCTATTCATTTGACCATTTGATAGACGAGGGTTTTCGTTGTTTCTTAAGAAATCAATGAAATGAAAATTCATTGGAAAATTTTACATGTTTATATGTTATTGTTGCAGCAATTGTTATTGTTACTGTTAACAACAACAATGTTCTCAATTTTATAGCTAAATTTTTCCAAAAAATTGTAAGCAACATTTTTGTTATTTTGTTGTATCATCATAACACATCTTTTTTTTCAACAAATGTTTGCGAAAAAATTCATTAGAATGTTGTCAGAATTGTGGTCCATTTTTATATGAAAACACACAAGTGATATTGCAACATATGTTATGTTGTTGCTGGCCCCCTTGCATTTGCTTACTTTAAATGTTGCACTTTAAACATGCAATTATATAGTAGAGTCCAACGCTTATCACACGAGCTAAACAAATTACTTTACTCGTCTGTGGCATGTGACAAAAAACAATTAAATTTAAGTGGAAACGATAAAAATTTTTAGTCGAAAAACAAAACACAAACTTAAAATAAAACTAAACCACATATTAAAGGACATAAATAAAACTTATTTGCATAAATTAACTAAACTACAACCCTGGTAAGAGCATCTCACCCACCATTTCCACAACAACAACAAACAAACAAATAAAACTATCAACATAAGGACTATTTCAAATGTAACCTACAGGGATGAGTCACTTTGTTAATTTATTCAAAAATAATTTTAAATTTCAAGTCAGCACGCTAATTGGAATAGCATCAGTTGTAGTGGAATTCTAATACACCTTCTAGTATGTCTGTCTGTTGTTGTGTCCGTCTGTACAGATGATACTTGAAGCCCTGAAGCGTGACTTAAGTCCGATAAGAATACAATTGCTATTTTACTGTGTTACAACACAAACCAATTTCAATTTCAACAGTAGCCATTAATAGTTTTATTGTATATTTTTGCGTTTTAATAATTTTTCAAAAACAACATCTGTGGTCAATTGTTTGAAAATTCTACACTGGAAAAAATATTTGGTAAGAAATTTATTACACAAACATGATCATGTCATGATCGGTAATGAAATTTTGAAATTTTACAAAATCTCTCTTTCCTGCAAATGTTTTTTTTATGTGTCAAACGATCTTCTATGTTCAATTTTAGAGCAAACGAACAAAAGTGATCTTCAAATAAAAAAGATCACGATGTTCATACGCTTTTGCTTTAGCGCCTCTAGTTTTATCCTGAAATAGACTTTTCAAACATTAAATAGAGTTTTGTTAGGTAATAAAAGTGATCTAGAGCCTCAAATTTAAAGCTAACGATCTTCACAAAAAGTGATCTTCGAATAAAGGAGATCGCAGTACCTTTTTGCTTAGGGCCTCTTATTTCACTACACAATTTAACATTAGGAAATAAACGTGATCTGTAGCTCAAATGTAAGAGCTAATGATGTTCACAAAAAGTGATCTTTTAATAAAGATAGATCACAGATATTCAAGAAAGATCACAGATATTCACGCTTTCAGCTGTAGGTCCACTACTTAAAATCTACTTTTGTTATTGAATAAAACTGATCTAGATCCCAATTTTAGAACAAGCGATCTTCATCAAAAGTGATCTCCAAATTTACAATCTTACATATTTTCATTGTTTTTGTTTTAGGGCCACTAGTTACAATCAAAATATCGAGTTTTGTCAGAACATAAAAGTGATCAAGGACTAGGACGATTTTAGAGCTAACGATCTTCATATAAAGTGATCTTCAAATAAAAAAAGTATAGTAGAAAATAGAATTGTGAATTTTCAATAACAATATCGAGTTTTGTTGAAAAATAAAAGTGATCTGGAGCCCTAATTTCGTGCTAATGATCTTTACAATAAGTGATCTTTACTTAAAATCTAGTTTTGTTATTAAATAAAAGTGATCTTGATCCCCAATTTTAGAGCTAATGATCTTTACAAAAAGTGATCCTCAAGTTAACACATTTACATTGTTTCTGTTCTAAGGCCTCGTTTTGTCATAAAATAGACATTTATGTTTTCACAAAAATTTTAGGAAATAATAGCTAACGATCTTCACAAAAGTGATCTTCAAAATATCAAAGATTTGCATTCTTTTTAGGGCCTCTTGTTTAGTAAAAAATAGATTTTTTCACTTAAATAATCAAGTTCTAATAGAAAATAAAATTGATCATAGATGATCAACCTTTTCCCCATAAAATAGACTTTTAAAATTTCACCCAAAAAGTCGAGTTTTGCTAGAAAACAAAAGTGATCACAGATTTTGATCGTTATGGAATTGGTTTCGTCCGAAAATAGACTTTTAGGATTTCCTTTTATCCAAGTTTTGGTGGCAACAAAAAGTGATCTTCATCCGTATAGAATTGATCCTCTAATTTCGTCTAAAAGTAAATGTTTTTACTTCAAGTTTTGGTGGCAACAAAAAGTGATATCAAAAGAAAATGAAATTTAAATGTTTTCACTCAAAACCTTGAATTTAGCACTGTAATAAAAGTGATCACAGATATTCCTCATTTTACCTCTAGAGCCTTTTCGATTATTACTCAGAAATCGAGTTTTAGTAGAAAATCTTTTTCTTATTGGCACTAGCGCCTCTTGTTTCGCCAGCATCTGGAATTTTAAGTATTCAACTTTAAAGTCGAGTTTTGTTAAGAAATAAAATTGGTCACAGAAGCGACTCTGATGATCGCAGATCTTCCAATATTCTCTTGTTTGGCCAGAAAATAGATTTTAAGTTTTCACCCAAACGTAGAGTTTTGTTAAGAAATAATAGTGATCACAAATGTTTATTCTTTTTGCTCCAGTGCCTCTAATTCCACGAGAAAATGCATTTTCAGGTTTTCTCTAAAAAAACAAAATTTGGCTAGAAAATAAAAGTTATCTCATAATTTTTAGGTTTTCACTCAAAAGTGATCACATTCTGTTGGATCTAGGTCCTCTGAACTGAACATCTAGGTTTTCACTTAGTTCTAAGATCTAGGGCGTCTGTTTTAGTGATCACTAAAAGAGATCACTTTTAGTTTATCGCTTCTAATTCACCAAAACTTTCTCTCAGTGTAAACTCCTACAACATTATACTAAAAACACATGTAGCTAAAGCATTCCTTCATTATTATGCACCCATCACCCACCAAAAAACCGACACATAGAAGAGACACTACTACTTTACAAAAAACTTCCACCAAGTTGAATTTAAATATTCGTGCATTAACCAATTGGTTTTTGGACTGTTAATGACGCGGCATATATTCCAATTGCATTTCTTAATTTATTCATTGTTGGCAATAAAGACTGAAACTGTAAAACAATTTTCTACCACTCGAAAATAAACAGACAATTAACATTATCAGATGTTAGTTTTTGGACTATTTGTATCATCATAATTGATGACATTTTAATGGCAGGACAATAATGGATGTTATTTATAATAAAAACAAAATAATGTAACTTTTTAGAATAGAACTTTAAAATATATTTTGTTATTAATTTAAAAAATCTTATTCATAATCATTGATGATATTGCCAGCACCATTTTTACTCTGACGTCTCCAGTTGAGAGGGAATAAACGTTTCCACAATTCATAGCGCTCGGTATTAAGGCCGCCACGCATTACCAGCTCATCGCCGATATCCAAATAATGTTGTTTTTTATAGCTGAAAGGACGCCAGCGCATATTTCTTAACTGTTCATCACTGGGTTTATTGGGATCTCTGAAATTTATAGAACATTTCTGGTTTGATGATCTGAGTTTAGTTTAGTCTTCTATTTACCCTTTATAGGCAAAGGAACTGAACATTCGAGTCAAAATATTGACCATGGTAAAGTCATCATCGTCATCGGTGAACATACGACTAACGGAAGGTTCCACAAATAAATACATTAAGTCATCATGATGAACCACACCTAAGAGGAAATAATACTTAAAAGGAATATGAAATTTCAATACGATCAACATGATCTTAAGCTGATCTTAGTTCTCATCTAAATATAGTGATACAATTTGTCATTTGCCTATATCTAAGAAGTCTATCCGAAAGTGAAAATCAACTCTGTTGTCTAATTTAGATGAGAATTTAGAAAATATTAAGAAGGCTTTGATCTAAAAATATCTAAGCAAGTGATCGCCAAACTTTACCATAAGGACCATTTTCCGGATAGTTAATATGACTCTTTTGACCCTGATAAGAAAATCGATAATAATACACTTTCGTAGAGCGAGCCGCTAAATGTACAAAACGATGCACGGAAAATCCCGTCAAAGCATCCGAGTACAACTTAGTAAGATTTTCCAAAGAAAGCTGCAAACTTAAAGGTTGATCACCAAAATAAAAATTCCATAATTCACTGCTAATATTGGCCGCTTTAGGACTACTGCTGTTATACAAAAAACATATGGGAGCCACTTGATCGAAATGATACTCAAATGTGCGCAATAGATGTTCATTTTCCAAAATATCTAGGAAATTAAAAAACAAGATCACTTCAGTTTCAAAACAACAAATTCATTTCATACTTATGGCTGGACCCACGAATTCGTCTTTAGTCATTCCGGTAATAATGGGTATTTTCATGAATTCACCATTTTGATAGGATTTCACAGGGTCTTCGATGAGAAAACGTTCTTGTCCGAAATCTCTCTCCACTACAGGTTTCCATAATATCAAAGGATTTTGCCTTCCAAACTCAAACATATAGGTCAAGCTATTGGCATATTGTAAATAATGTTTCTGAACCAAAATAAGTAACCCATTAATATATTAACAATCTTATCCAGAAATTCACTTACGTCTTTTAAGCAATACATCATTTCGGTGATATTTTCCGAGGGACATTTCAATAAAGTAGCCTGACGTTGAGCCAAAGCCAATTGCTCCTCTGGCAATTCCCATTGACCGGTAGCCGAACCACTCATTATTATAGCTTTGTGAAACAGATTACGTGACATGGGTGAGACCATATGCAGAGTTATGCTCAAAGCCCCAGCACCATAACCCAACAGGGTAATAGAAGTTGAATCCCCACCAAAACGTGATATATGCAATTTAAGCCAGCGCAATAATAATACCTGATCCTTAAGACCCAAATTGCCGGGTGCCTCTCTGGTGCCTGTACTCAGAAAACCCAAACTAGCCAAACGATAATTAAAAGTAACCAATACAATATTGCGATCCATGAAATACTGAGGCCCGGCGAAATTTTTACTCTGACCCGATAAAGAATAAAATTCTCCCGGATGTATAAACACTATAACCGGTTTCTTCACATTCGGATTATTTTCCGAGGGCAATTCTCGTGTATAAATATTCACCCGCAAACAATCCTCTGAAACATCCAAACTATTAAGACCCGGTTGAGGACACATGGGTCCATCGATGGTGGCATCAAAGATATCAAACCATTGTTCTACCGGTTCTGCTGGTTTAAAACGTAAATCACCTATAGGCGCCTTAGCATAACGTATGCCACGAAATGCATAAAAATTTCTACCCGCCTGTGAAGTCAACAGAGTGCCACGTATTTTACCCAAAGCTGTGGTCAATACCAAATCCGATAACTCCTTGTCACTGCCCATAATAAAATCATCCACTTCTTTGGCTGCTTTTTCACATTTAGCCCAACTCACTGCCACAAACGAAGTTAAACACCAGCACAAAAACTTCATACGCACACTTTTTAACATTGTCCACGAAAGTCTAGTTACAACTGATTGTCATTTAACTCTGGAGAGGAGCTTTTATACTTGCAGTCCATTTTTGCAGCAAAGACATAAACTTTTAGAATTAATGTTTCCGCAACACTATTAAAGGTTTTATTGTGCTAATAAATAAGCCTTTTCTAGAATTCTTTTAGCCCAACGACCTTTGTGGATGGGAGCTTGTTTTACTTAGTTACTGCTGCTGCTACTAACAGGGTTTGCCGCTAAAGGAATGTGGCAAAGCAAGTTTTCGTTGTAACATATTTGGCATCGTTGGAGTTATAAATAGGAACAAGTTTATGCGTAAGCATAAAACTTGATTGTTGTCTCTTGTAGAAGTTGCCAAACAATCTTAGAAATCTACTCTTAAGACTCTTGTTGATCAACAACATCTTCATGCAACTGTCACTTTCTTTTTAAAGTAGCAACATCATTAGGAGTTGTTTTTAAAGGTTCTTGAAGATTTCAAAAAGAAAACAATCTTGTGTTTGATTCGTTGCTACTACATGATTACTTTCGGTGGATTTTTTAGACTTTGGTTAAGATTTCTGAAATCGATCATTGTGCTTGTGAATTACTTCTTTTCAGGCGCATAGACTTAAGCATCTTAATATTACGATCTACAAATCAATGTACTTCTCAGTATTTATTCACAGCTGTATGATTCGTCTATCGCTATAAATCCGTTACGACAAGATCATTTCATACCATTAGATCGATATATAAGATCCATTATAGGAGCTAAAAACATGAATTCTAAGTAGACCAAACTATATTTAATAAGTTTTCTATTAGACGAAATGGACTTTCTCTTCACTTTATCTCTCCGCCTTATAAATGTACTTTTTCAAATGTGTACGATCATTTAGTGATCACTAATTTGAAGATATTCTGAAGATTCTTTATTTACACATATTTATATATATCCTTTAATAGTTCGAACCGATATATACTTCATTTGAGCTATTTGAAGCAGACCCTTCTCTGACAAGGGCAACAATCTACTTATGATCATATTCTTCTATTTGTATAATCTTAAGATCCAGCAAAGACTGACTTTTCTCATAAGAATCTGTTTTGGAAACTGTTTAATAAAATCCGTATGTTTACCGGATGCTAATGCTGTTGCGAATGCAGAGCAGAGAGAAGTCTGAAGTTAAAATGCATTCGATTTCAATACCTCCGGTAGATAATATGTCTCTTGTAATTATAGGAAACTATGACGCGAAAAATGAAGACAAAAAGAAAACTCTCCCTCCGTCTTCATTGCAGTTTCGGAAACTGTTAAAGAAAAGTCCGCGAGTTTACCAATCGCCTTGTGGACAGTTTATATAGACACAGTAAGGTTATTCGATATATATAAAATACGAAATTCGTTGCACTTTTTGCTACCTCTGAAGACGCTGAAGAGAAATCCGATCACTAGTCTCAAGATATCTTAAAGATAAGATCCTTGATCGTCTAATGTATCCTTAATGCCGTCACTTGCCTCAAGATCAGTCTGAATATAACAGATTTAAGAGGCCTCATCAATACAATATCAATCTATTTGTGTGAAGATCCATCCTAATCTAGACAGCTCTTTCTTACACTGCAAACTTTTCTCGAAGAACTTCTGCTAAGTAGGTTAGGCAGAAGCCTATAACCTCGTTAAGAGAAACCACAGACTTTAGCAAAATGTCCAGAAAGAACAGAAGTGGCTGACGAACTATATTTATAGAAAAGAGCTTGGGTATCAAATATTCATCTCTATCCCCAAAATATGCTTAATACTTTGTAATGTTTATGGTTTGAAACAAAACGATTAGACTTCAAGATTAATCTTGTGATTTGTAAGCTTGTAACGTTCTCTGTCATTTCATCTTACGTTTACTCGACGACCGAAATACGCAATTCAATCGTCGAGCAAAACGATCAGACTCAACGATCAGTCCTGCAGTTCACAAGATCATTAATTACATTTAATATAATTATAAGCTGTAAATTCGAATATCAGGATCAATCCTGAGGATCAATTGAAGATCATTGGTTTAAGCATAATTATGAGCAGTAAACCCGACTGTAATGTCCTCTATCACTTATGTCAAAATGATTCTGCAAATCTAATGCTAGAGCAAAAGGATCATCAGTTTTAGCATTTGGATTGCAAGATCATCAGTTTTAGCATAACTTTGGTCATTAAATTCGACTTTAATGTTCTCTGTTATCTTATGTCAATATAACGCTTCGGTGTTATGATTTCAGATTACTGATCGGTCTTCAAAGCTAAAACTCTCATATTCATCAATTCATTATAATATTTAATAAAAACAATCAAATTTTTAACTCATTTTAGATGAACAAATGTATGATCATTGATAGAAAATTAAAAATTCTTGCGTTAATGATCTTTTGACGAAAATTTTAAGAAAAATTATTTTTCTAATATTAGAAACCCTCTATTCAAAGCATTCTTAACACAAAATTTTAAATTTTTTTCCCACAAATAAAAGGTTTTTATTCGCTTAATTTGTAAGATTACAGGCAGAAAAAAAGTTAAAAAACTTTCTCATAAATAACAAAATTCTAAAGCAAACCTATAAATAAAGCGTATCGAATAGCGAATAGATATTGATGAAGAAGATTCCTAATTTTTTACAAAACTTCCCACACACACACCCCACCTAACTAGAAAGGAAGGTGTTAAAAGTAAGTTGCAAAACTGCTGCTGCCCAAAAAAAAAACACGATCTTAAGGTGTGAAGAGGATCAATCAGCTATATAAACAGCGTTTAGAGGTTTATGCTCTAGTTTTCCCACGTCGATAAAACACACAATTGCGTGTCTTAAGCTAATAAAACTAGAGTGTTAAAAAAATTAAAAAGACTGAAAACTAAATGCCCTTAAATAAGTACTAATGACTCTAAACAAATTGTACAAAGTGAGGCAAACAAACCCTAAACATTTGGACAAAGAAGATAATGAAAACAATACCTTAAGATAGTGAAAACATTAAATGGACTGTTAAACAATTTGCGTTGCTTGAAATAGAGAGAGAGACAGAGAAGTTACCCTTAAAAACGCAGTTTAACGGAGTAAAGTTAAACTGGTGTTTAAGGTTTTCTTAAACCGGTCGTTGGGAATTAACAAATTTGTAAAACCAAGAACTTAATAGGTTGTTAAGGTAATTTAAAGGAATATTGGTCATTTCATGTTAACACACCCTTAACATGTTGAAGTTTATTAGCGGTTTTTGATGTTTATTAGGAGAAATTAAGCAATTTTTTATTTAATTATGGGAACAAGATCAATGTTAAACAAGATCACTGTTCTTTTAGTAATAACTAATAATTCCTTTGAATTACAAGTTCCCAGTATTAGGATTTGAATTTTTTTACAAAATTTCAAATATTTTGACCACACACGCTTCTAAACTTCTAGAACTCACCTTGATATTTTGTTTTTGAAAAAAAGGCAATATGTCAACACAGGCCATTAAATGTGGAGTTTTTTTTTTTCATAAAAATCTCATTAGGAATTTTAAATGAATTCAGGTTTTAAAAACAATCAATGTCTACAATGACACCTTAGGGAACCTCAGCTGCAGTCGTCTAACACTCTACAAAGTAGACAAAAACTGTGCATTTGTTTAACAACATTAGTAGATTTGTAATAAAAACTCATACTATATAAACCTCAGTTCTTGCAACACAACACAAATTTATGCCACAATTACTTTACAGCCACAGTCATAAAATCCCTTTAAAAACAACAACAACAACTGAACTGAAGTGCCAACTACAAACGACATAATTCGCACTTCTTCTTAAACCTTATAAGAGGTTTGTAGTAGTAGAAGTAGACTCCAGACAAAATCCTGTGGTGTACAAAGAATCAGCAAATGAAGCAGACAGCCAAAGCCAGAACGACAACAACAACAACATGATCACTAAATGTGTTAAAAACTTTTTGAAAATTAAACTCGTGTTTGGTTGATCGCTGTATGCTTAAGACGTATGCCACCTGCCGTTGCAGGCTCTTTTAAACTCGTGCCAGTACGCAGGAAGAATCAAGGTAAATAGATATAGTAGAATTTTTTATACTTTTGCGTTGCCTTTTAACCACAAAACATTTAATAAAATATTGCTTGGTTAACTGCACAGTTTAAAGAAAACAAAGTCATCATCACTGGCAGTTTATAGATTTCAACAGAGTTTTTTTAAGCCTCAACTTGGACAGAATATTAATTGAAACTAAGCTTAAGCTGAGCATAAGAAAACAGTGAAAGAAATTCTCTCATAACTTCTCTCTAAAGTTCTTTCTTTTAATTTAAAACAGGTAACGGCAAAAACTGTATCTCTCTCTTAAGCTTTGTTGCTTTCATACATGCTGAAGATCGCTCATATATATAACGATATGTGTTTAAAATGAATTAAACCTTTAAAATCTATCTTTTAATTCATATAAAAATACGATCTTCTAACTTCAAGATCAATTTCCATTAATGCCTCTCTCAACTTAATTCTAACAGTGTAAATTATGTAGAAAAAAATCTTACACACCACTCACCATAAAAAATTTGCAATCTTAATGCATTTTAACATTTTATTAAACAAAACAAAATAAGACACGTACTTGCAAATTTCAACATCTGCCTTAATTGCTCATAAATAGTCAAAAGAGTCCAGACACACCTATGAAATGAAAAGTGTAAAGGAGTCTCTATTCTACTCCTTGACTCATTAACATTACTGTTCTACTTAAAGGCAGGACAAACAGTGACAAATGCTAAACAAAATTTGCCTATGAAAATGTGTTTTTTTCGCTCTTAATTAACAATTGATACTCATGATCAACAATCGATCATGTTGGTTGACAGGAAGCGACAATAATATGATTATGAATAAATCTTTGGCATGAGCTAAATGAAAACAATTGTGAAAACCTAGGGAAAGTGGTGGAGTAAATTGACCTTTTAACTGTAAATCTGTGAGAGTGGAAGTTGTCAAGAGTGAAGA